GGAAAAACTTCTTGTTGGGCTCTGTATCCAGAAGTATACGGCTGGGATTAAGGGTGGTAAAGGCACTTAAGCTGGATTCGAGAACTAATTCAGTGTTTGTACTTTGGGTTTCCCCCATGTGCCCCCTTTGGAAAGTGGCCGAGGAGGTGTGCCTCCAGACCAGTTCTGGGGGGAGGAGGAGGTCTCAGGGGGAAGGATACAAGGAGGCTGTTGGTGTGAAAGAAGCTTGTGTGTGCCTAGAAATCTTGGACACCTTTTCCAAGGAAGCTCGCCGGGCTTTATTCAGGGTCTGGAAGACTGGCTCGTTGGCCAGTGTGTCCCCTAGGATGTCGGTTCTCCTGAAAATCTTCAGCATCGTCCTTTGAGAAAGTGATTTTTGATTTCTACCCTGGGGTCTTTCAAGAAGGCATTGTGGTGTGTTGCCAGAGAATCAGGAAACATCTCGTGGCCACCGAAGAGAGAGCTGGGCCCAGGCCCCAGCATCTGAGCACTCTGGTGTTGAGGAGTCTGGAACTGGGATGAGGTCTCAAGATGTGCAACTTGTGAGGACATTCTTGTTTCCTCCTGAAGTCTTGTTGCCTCTTCTGTTCTAGGCTCCATTGATGATGTCCTCGGTGACCTCTTGGGGGATGAGAGTAAGTGCCCCTTTCCCAGAATCCCCTGCTTTAGGCTTATCTTTTTTTTTTTTTTTAATTGAAATCTAATTCACGTAAAATTCACTCCCTTTAAGTACACATTTCACTGGCTTTTAGTGTGTTCACAAAGTTATACAACCATCACCACAGTCTAATTGCAGAACATTTTCATCACCCCGTAAAGAAACCCCACGCCCATTAGCAGTCACTCCTTACTCTCCCTCCCCTCAACCCCACTTACTCACTTTCCTTCCCTACGGGCTCGCCTGTTGGAGACATGTGGTATAAAATGGAATCACATCGCCCATGGCTTTTGCGTGTGGCTTCGTTCACCCACCGCGGTGTTCACGAGGTTCGCCTGCACCGTTCCTGTCTCCATTCCTTCCTATGGCTGGACGGTATTTCGGTGTGTGGACGGACCGTGTTTTGCTGATCCGCTCCTGAGGTGCTGGACATTCTGATGGCTTCCACGTTTCGGCGTGGCTCTGATGAATAACGCTCTTAGGGACATTCATGTACACGTTTTTGAGTGGCCATATGTTTTCAGTTCTTTCGGGCGTCTACTGAGGAATGGAATCACTTGCATGTAATTCGATGTTTAACTTTTGAGGAGCCACCAAAGCATTTTCCGTCTTACGTTCCCGCCAGCAGGATACGAAGGTTCCAGTTTCTCCATATCTTCCCACAGGACTTGTTATTTTGTCTCTTTGATTATTCCCATCCTACTGCATGTGCAGTGGTGTCTCATTGTGGGTTTGATGTCCATTTCCCTGATGACTAATGATCCCGAATCTGTTTTTTATGAGTTGATTGGCCATTTGCATTTCTTTGGAGAAAGGTCTAATCAGCTCCTTTTTGAAATTGGGTTGGCTGTTGACTGTTGAGTTGTAGGAGTTTCTTATATATTCTGGATACGAGGTCCTTATCCTGTGTGTCCACATCTGCCCTGAGGAGCAGGGCTTCAGGGTCCTGGAATGCTCACCGGGGACAGCCAGGCTGAGGCTCCCACCACCCAGCCCAGAAGAACCCATGGATCCCAAGCCCTATGTTCGGCCAAGAGCTTTGGGTGGCGGAGTGCATCACTCTTTCTGCCTTTCCCTGCAGTGTGGTGGGGTTGGGCTCTTCATCTGGCACCAGTTGGCTTTCAGGGTTGACCTTCCTGCAAGAAGGTTTTTCTGGGGAGCTTGGTGGGGAACTCTCAGTCCTTTTCATCTGGACTCCAGTTCCCTAGCCAAATGGCACCTCTTCTGGTTGTGTGTGTGTGTGTGTGTGTGTGTGTGTGTGTGTGTGTGTGTGTTTTTCCAGTGATACTACCCGAGGAGCCTGTGAAACTAGCTTCCCGAGCCCGAGATGCCATGGCTGTAACCCAGGCGCTCCCTTCTTCAAGGGCTAGAACAAAGTAAGTGCAGGACTGGCTTGGGTGGCTGTGGCCCCTTCGGTCCAAATGCTCTTGCCTCCTCACCCCACTTTCCACTTCCTCTCTGCCCTACTTCTGCTGTCACTGATTTCTTCCCTTCTCCATGTTCCCGGTCCGTGAACGAGCCTGAAGGGTAGAAAGAGAACTGACCAGGGGTCAGAAGTCCTGGCTACTAGTCCTGCATATACGACTTACTGTGTGGTCTTGGGTGATTGCTGAACCTCTCTGAGCCTCAATTTTCTTTTCCCCAGAATAAAAGAATTGGCTTTCAGATTGCTTATTCTTCTAAAGTGCTCCTGACCATTGAGCAATGGGAGGGAGTTTTAGGAGTTCTCCACCCTCCACCTTCATCTTGGCCAAGCAATTCTGTTTTTCTCTTTTATCTGTTGCTTTGAAGAGTTTGGTTATTTATTTTTTCAATCTTGTGGCTGTTTTTTTTTGAAGTACAGCTGACACACAGTGTTAAAATACTTTCAAATGTACCGCATAGCAGTCGGACAAGTCTGTAGTTATCCTGTGCTCACCATGAGTGTTTACCGGATTGTATTTGAAGGGGCTCTCCTGCTTTAGAAAAAGGGAAAATCTCTGCCTTAGGTGGCCTGTGAAATTCCTTTGAGCAGCTCTGTCCTGTTCTCCCGGAGAAGTCTTACGGGTTCACTGGTTACTCTCTAAGCTACCTTCCTTTCTTGGAATCAGTTAGTGCCCTGGGGTTGCAGGTGGGTCCCAATTCCGCATCTTTGCAGGTTCCTCCTGGAAGACTGTGCCTTCAGCACCACAGCAGGCCTGACAGGACCTGATGCTGAGGTGAGCCTGGCCCACCCTGCCCCCACCCTTTCTGCTTATCCCTAAAAGTAGCGAAATGGGTGGTGGCTGGGAGGTTTCTCACAGAAGGGTTTAGTAGTTGCTGCAAAGCCAGTGTGTTTTTTAAAATGATACCCAAAGGCCGCCAAGTGGACCCCATTGTGGACCCAACATGCTTCTCCTTCCTACCAGTGAGATGCACTGGAGAGCAGAGCTTGTGTTGCCCTTTGTAACTGGGTCTCCTGTCACAATAAGTTTATTTATTTTGAGAGAGATTGAGAGAGAGTGTGCGAGCAGGCCAGGGGCAGAGAGAGAGAGGGAAAGGGAGAGAATCCCAAGCAGTCTCCACGTTCATCACGGAGCCAGACATGGGGCTCAATCCCACAAACCATGAGATCGTGACCTGAGCCGAAATCAAGAGTTGAACGCTTAACCTACTGAGCCAACCAGGTGCCCCTGGGAAGTAGCATAATTTGAGCCCATTAATGAAAGGGTTCTTTCCAGTTGGGAGGGACAGAAAGCGGCAGCACTTTCTGGGTCTCCACACCTGGGGAGGTTTGGCTTCCGACTACACTTAAGTCCCAGGTGAAGGCAGGACCTCCTATCTGTGCCGCACTGGCCGAGCTCTGCCCTCATAGAAGCAAGGCAACAAGGAGCTAGACCCCTGAGCTTTGGTAGTCCTCGACTAACACATCCTTACTGTCCTGCGCACTTAGATTTCAGACATCTCAGACGCAGACCCGCAGGCTCTCCTCCAGACCATGAAGGTAAGGCACCCGCTTGCACAGCTCTGGGACCCGGGGCAGGACCCAGGTGTTCCGTGCCAAGCCTTTCTTCTCCCTCGTGGTTCTCCCTCTGCAATTCGTGTTTCTGAGCCCTTTCTAGTCAAGAAAGGAGCTCATCTATGAGCTGCTGCCCTTCCTGTCCTTCTGGATAGAAGTCTGTTTTCCTGGTTTATAGAGATTTACTACCCAGGGACACCGTCATGCGATAGGCCCCTAGTGCAGTGGGGCTGGCTTCCTCCCAGAGACTCCGGGCTACGTCCCTGTACCAACACCACCATTGAGGGGAGAGGAGGAGAGACTCCTCTAATGCTGCTTCTTAACTGTTGTCTGTATTTCTTTCCACATCCCCTGCCAAATCCCCTTCAGTCTGGCTGTGCTCTCATTGGATCAAGCCCCAAGCTAAGCTTGGCAATGGAATTTTAAGACATAAATTCTGTACAGTTTATAAGATAATCTTCCAAGGTGCAGGTGGCCTGGCTGGGGTCTGAAACCTTAGGTCACCTCTGCTCCCCCCTGCCCTTCCGTCGAGCAGCAGTCTCTTGCCCCTCTGGTTAACCCACATCCCCGGCCGAGCGCTTGCTTTCAGCCTTGGCGGGGGCAGGAGGGGCCGAAGGATCAGAGTCTGCTCCCTTCTTGACTCCATAGTGAGCCTCTTTAACCTCATCTTGAAATCTCTCTTCTCCGAGGCCAGCTGGCTGGCACCCTTGGCGGCCACCCCCAAGTCCTCTGCCTCTGCTGCCGGCGGTGACTCTTTGAGTCTCACGCCAGAACCACAAGCTGGGCCCCTGTCCCCCAGCTTGCTCTGCTTACCTTTGGTTCAGTTTTCTCTCCCAGCTCACTTCATTCCTGCGTAGTTTTCTCGTTCCCCTTTGTCCCTCACGCTTCTGCCCCTGGGCTGCCAAGCATCCTCCCAGATCAAAGTCCTCGTCCCCTTAAGAGGATCAGCATTTGGCGAGTCTGTACCAGGGGCTGTGGTGGCCAGGAGACGCTTGGCTGGGTGCCTAGTGGCTTGTGTCATCACCAGAGAACCTTCACTGACCCGGAACAGCATCTTCATCACGCTCTGCCTCTTCTGACCCAGGCGGGCTAAGGACTCCTTGACTGTTGCCCCGGGGCCCCTTTTCACAGCCCAGGACAGTCCCTTTGAGTCCTCAACCCCAGGATCATGCAGTTTTGTTCCCACCGTAAATAGAGCTTCACCGCTTACTGAGCCTGTGGGAGAAGCACCAGCAAACAGGTTTTAGTGCCCCTGGCCGAAATGGTGGTAGGGGTACCATCCGAGACCAGGGGGCTTATCAGAGACCGAGCCAGTGGAGACTTTGTGCTTCGGCCTGGCCTCTGGCCTTGTTCTCTACCCCTGTTGGGGTCAGTTCCCCAAACCAAGTCCCCGTGGGTCCCCCGTGCAATATGGAGGCAGTGTCACCACCAGGCTATCCAGAGCACGGGGACGTTTAGCAGCCACTAGCCAAGCACCCGTGGGGATTCCTGCCTCCCTCCCACTTTTCCAGGATCTGGACGACATGGATGCCGATCTCTTGGGTCTGAAGAAGTCTGATCTGGCCTCCAGCAAAAGAGCTGCAAAGGGCTCTGGGAAAGAAGAGTTGCCTAGTCATCCTAAATCTGCCGGCCTATTAACAGCCAGTGAGAAAGGCGAGTGGGAGAGAGCGCCTGGTGTCTGGACATTCTGGGGACTCGGCAGATACTAGGAAGGGAGCTGTCACTGCTGTGGGTTTTCTCTGCGGGGGGTGGAAAGGCCATTTGAGTGTTTGTGGTGGGGGAGGGGACAGCTTCCTCCTGCCTCGTGTGGTTCCAGTGCCTCTAAGTGCAACATGGCAGCTCCTGGAAAAACCACCTGAGTTAATTTGGGGAATTTGGTGGTAGCCCGTGTACCTCCCAAGTCTGTGACTCTCTTTGGAGTGATGACATGTGACGGAGGGGCGGGAGGTGGCCTCGGACCACGTTTCCCTGGCAGAAGCCTGTGGGAGAACAGTCTCCACAGCCATGAGCCCTCAGCACGCCCAGAGAGAAGTGCACACCACCCCAGGGTCCCTGTCACGGTGTGGCAGGACCTTGGCTGGGAGAGGCCCAGGCCCGTGACCTTGCCTTCTGTTTGCTTCTTGCAGGGGACACCATTCCTGCCAAGAAGTCCCCTCCCTCTCCCAGCAACTTTGGGCATCAGTACAGGAAGTTTTCCTTCGAAGGTACCACAGGCCCCGTGGTCACGCTTCTGGGTCACTTTGGTTTTAAGAGCGGAGGAACCTGGGTAATGCCTACTTGCTTGCCCAAGGTCAGGTTGCCACGCATGTCAGAGGAGGAGCAGACAGCCGGTGCCACTGGTTCAACTCCTCAGGAATTCAGGGAGGGACTGATTGTGTTGTAGTGGCTGGGAGATTGGAGTAACTTATTTGCAAGGACTTTGAAGCCAGACATCAAACTGAAGGTTTTATAAAGTATAAGAATTCCCTTTCCTTTTCCAAACGCACAAACATTGTATTTACTTCACTTCTGATGCTTGGGGGACATTTCCAGAAGGCTGTACAGACAGCAGAGTTGGGGGGGC